ACATCCTCAGTCATTTGGATGACCTCTGCATCAGCTGACGGAGGAAACAAACAGTGTGTTGATTCAGACAGCAGACATCAGTAATGACAAATCGCCTACGCAAGTGAAATGGACACCTTCCAACAGCGAGCGGTTCATTACTCAAGCCAGATAAACCTTCCTGTGCAGTAACATGTGCAGGATTACTCCCCTTTTCAATCACTAGTTCAACCCTTCCACATTTCTTCTTACCTTGGAGATAAATGTCCCTGTCCGCCTGAAAAATCCCGAATCCAGGTACAGTCGCACTGTGGTCGGGGAAGTACGAGTGTGTCAGTGCCTCGCTGCAACACGCCATGAAGCACATCAAACTCCACTCTCTGTGTTCCCCCGTGGGGCTCAGTCAGCTCACCGCGCTCATCCATAGCACTGTCCAAACACCTCACATTCTCCACGATGATCGCTGGAACAGCTCCTGCTCTGAGACCCCCTTGTTTTCTCCGTAGCTTCTCCAGGATTACAGGCTTTGCTCGTGGAACTAAAAACTGTCAGCACGACCGAAAATACAAACACTAGGAAGAGCAAACAGAACAAAACACAAACGACAGGAGAGTGCAGACAGAAGTTAATGGCTTACAATAGTGAGACATTTGTAGAGGAAAGAAAAGAGAGGTATCGAAACAAAACACTCAGTACATCATGGGAAGTCCCACCTGAGCCTGTAGGAGTATAAGCAGTGGATGGTTCGGTTTAAACCATAACTATAGGCTGTATCAGAAAGGAAAGTTCAAAATTATTAAGAGGTCTTTAAAATATGATGATGGAATTTAATCATTCAAGGCTTTGTAAATGGTTTTGAATGTAATCCTAGATTTGGAGAGCCTTTAGAATAACCTGCTAATATGGAATTATAGATTTTGAGCCTAGAAGTTAAATTAAATATCCATGATATAGTTTTTCACTGTTGCTTTATGATGGGATTTTTTGAATATTGGTAGAACTGTAAAGAGAAAGAAGCCAGACATCAAGCTTAAGTTTATTAGGGAGTAAATGACACATCCTGCAGGCCAAGTAATGTAATACATAGCCGGTATCTGGTTGGACACCCATGTTCTGAGAACTTAAAGTGCCAAATATGATAACCTAAATACAAAATTACATCTGCTTCCTGCTTTCTTGATGCTTGAAACTTGTACTTTGTGTCACAAAATGCTTTCTCATAGAAGTTGGCTTTTTATTTATTGTGCCTTAATTAACTAATTACTTTTTTCCAAGGACAAAACAGCAGTTTTAATTTTGATTATTGGCAAATTAAGTTAAATGTCAAGTCTCTTGTTGCAACGTTAAATCTTGAAAGACAACTGACATTTGCAGATGTTGCAACTATTTCTCTTGAATTGAATCCATCTGTTATCCAGTGGCAGCTAAAGCAAATCAGGCGGAAGTCTTTATTGATATGTTTTCCCTTTGGGTTTTGAGCTCGTTTATACAAGTCCTTTATTTGAAATTTGTTTGGGAACAAGTGGCACTTTAATATCCAGGGAAACGATTTTCTAGCTTCCAAATTGAAGGGTGGCGTACGAGTCAATTATGTTTAAATGCCTGAGCTTCATCACTCGTATAATCCTGCAATAAATGCTTTCAGTAAGTGGAAAGATCCATTTTACTCAGTGCCATTTCCAAGTTCACCTGTGGTATTCACCCAGTGTACAACTCATTGAAGAAATCATTGATCACGCATTGTGTTTGTATCTGTTTGATTCAGTGTTTGTCATTCCTGTGTTTTATATGAAAAACTGCAACAAAGTTTCAAAGGACATGAGTTAAATGCTGTCACAGCTGTTTAGCATCAGTTTTGGGTAAAGCGACTCTCTTTTGCCCTGTGTTCCAGAAACATGACTCTGTCGGGGTTTAAGGATTCGATGATGGAGCTGATTCACTTTGTGGGTCGACTGGCCTCTGTGGGCCTTCAGCTTGAAGGCTGTCACTGTCTCCTCCTCAGCTTCGTCCTGGACTTCTATGAGACGGTAAAAGAAGAAGCTGGAGTTAATGATTTTCTGTTTTGTAGCTTTGTCATAATCTGTGTTTGTGCTTTGTTATTGTCGCTATATAGTGACACAAAAAAGAAAACATCCTCTAGATATTTCACCACCCCTACCTTACAGAATGATGCTATTTGTAGGGTCTGACACCTTAACAACACAAGCCCAGTCTTATTTAGCAAAATGCAAGTAGAGGGAGAGAACACGAGATTCCCTGAACAGCTTTAAAGATCAACTTGTAGCAGAGCACACTCTTTCTAAAAGGTTCAGCGGGGATGCATATTCTATGTCTGAGCCTCCGCTTTAACGTTTTTAATCTCTGTGGGTGTTTGTTACATGTTTTTCTCCTCCCGCAGGTTTGTGACACATTTCTGAAGTATGGCCTCCCCCTCATAGTGATGCCCCCAGCTGGAGTCTTTTACCCAGCCCTGTTTGCCACCGACCCCGTCAGCGTGGACCGACTGGCCTACATCATGCACAGGTGAGTGCTCAGCACCTCTATGGGAAGCTGCCATAAGCTTATCTTAATGCACACATTAGCAATGCCCTAAATGTAGTATGTCATATGCTG